AGGTCAAGAGCACTCCTAATGCTTATTAAAGCATTCCTAAAGAGCACTCCTCGTCCCTTCTGCAAACCATCAAAGAGTGTCTAAATATTATAAGCAACACACACACACAAAGTATATGTTTGAAAACATAATACAAAATACAATCCCTAATATGTGAATAACACGTTGTATAAGTGTGTTTAAATAAGTGTAATATAGGTCTAGATTGACATAAAAGCATTAAAATAATAATTTCTATATCAAATGCCAATAAAGTTTATTCTGATTTTGATTCTGATAAATTCGTAGTGAACGTTTCTGCTTTTCTATGAAGAAGAAAAAAATGGTCCTAAAATAGACTGGAAAAACCTGGATATGTAAGGCATTTTTTAATAAAAAATGTTTAGGAAGCTTGTTTAACCATCTTTCAGGCTTCTCGAACAACACACAAGCTGTTGTTATTGCAGAAATATATCCGAATAATTCAATATGAATGATTAGAGCAGAGAACAAATGCTGTAGTCATAAACCGTAACAATACAAACAGGTAGCAGAACAGCTTTTGTTATTAAACGTCTTTTTGTGGCTCTGTCAAGTGCATGTTTATTCTGGCAGGGAAGCTTGTTAATTTGAATGACTGGTTGAACACATTGATAAATGATTTAAAATCTGCAGTAAACGTCGGCAGGTGCTCAGCGTTTGTTCGACGCTGATATACTGCTGTCTTTGAGTCGGAAGAAAGAAAATTAAAATATGTTGTTCAGAGCTGCTGCTGATCTTCAACTAGGTGATAATGCATTGTTGTTTTACAATCTTTCCAACCCACTTCAATTAACAATTAAATGAAACCCAATTAAATCAATTAACAAAAAGTAATCACTACATTTTTTTGAAAATTCCAAATTATAGAAGATATTCATTATTTTAAAGAGCCATAGTGAAAATAAAACATCTTTACACATCAATCTTTCAATAATTCTACTATTTAACGTGTTTTATTGCTACTTTAATATTAGTATTATTGTTTTATTAGCAAATGTACCATCAGAGTTCACATATTGTTCCTTATTAACTTACTAAGATGCTGTCCGTTTATATACTGCAATTTAAATTATATTTCAGCTGTTTGATGTTTTTAATATTAGCCAGCAGCTGAGAAATCTAGTAAATGTATTACTTTCTGCTGACTGAAGGCTTTTATGACTGTGTCTATAGTAGTCGCCAAGTAGGTCATTCATGCATGTCAACTTCTCTTTTTTATGCTACTTAAAGGCCATAAAACAACACTTATGTAGGGGGAAAAGGCAAGTGCACAGTAAAACTAGATTTTTTCCATAATGGTGTACCTCCTGCATGCTGTTGGAAGACAGTTTGCTTACCAACCATGGCTATAAAGAGTTCAGTTTGGCTGCAGTTTTGGAAAAGACCAGCTAAGGCTTGCAGGATTAGCAGCAGCCTTGTTTAATCCAACAGGTTGTAGCACAGAGCCACATCTCTGATTGCAGGCTGCACCTTCATGTAATCAGACCCACTTGGACTCTATTCACCCTTCAGGGAAAACATGACCCGAACGTCCAGACACAAACACACTGATGCATTCAGGATCACTACCAATCTGA